TAAATAAATAAATAAATTATAGCATATACTTTTGGTGCATGTGGCTGTGCCCTTTAGAACGAGTTTTCCTAACTGTTTCATATTACATGTATGTATGATCTTTGCCTGCCGTACGAAACACATAATATTATTCTTCATAAAACTTGCGACACATAAAAGGAATTTTTAAAGTATTTAAAAAGAAAAGAAACGTTTTAGCGAATGTTTCGAGATAAAGGGGAATGACCAGGGAAAGGGATTTCTTGAAACTGTTTAGTGGGAGTTATAATACTTGGTTCTTTTTATAATCTAAGAACTCCTAATATTATTATTATTATCTAATGCCGTACGTACTTTCATACGTTAAGCTAATGAGATAATGAGCCTGATATATGTCAAAATTTAATTTGATAATATTTAGGTTCATCTTTCTAATAGTTTAAAATTATAACGGTCTCGAAATAGTATTTTGTTTTCGCAACTTCGACCAATGAAAGTGAAACTTTTACCGGTGCCCAAAAAACAGGAAGTATCTGGACTGTTTCGCTGTCAACTCCCTTTCCACTGTCAACAAAGCTATCGTCTCTCCTGGACCGTCGATAGGAGTTCGGTCCTTTGCTCACCTGGATTTTAATTTATCCTGTGAATTTACTTTCTTTCTGAGGCTGAGTGCAAATCGTTTGATTGTTTGCAATGCCCCGGGAAATTGAAGCGTAAGCACTCGTTGAATCCAAGTTGTTGTTTTCCGCTATTTTTCCCTCATTAAATCCTGTAGACTGTAGATCTCTACCTGTGCCTGTTTCTGAACACTGTGATAGATCTAAGATCTAGATCTAGATTCTAGATTTCTAGATCTAGAGTCTAGATCTAGAATCTAGATCTAGATCTAAGTAATAAAGTTAATTTAATAAATTATATCCAAATATAACAGTGTCCTGACTTCTGTTTGGTGAGTAGACTAATTAATTTTAGGTTACTTTTTGCACTTTCAAATTACATTAAAATAAAATGTTGAAAGGAGCAACTGGTAAGTGCAGCAACAAGTTGAAAAAGTAGCCTAGTGCCCTAGTCTAGATTCTAGACTCTAGAGATCTAATCTAGTTCTAGATAATCTAGTAGTGGCTATCCTCACTCTGGGTGAGAGTAAAAATATGATCGACCTCTCACCCTGGGCCTGGGTGAGACTTGCCAGCGTTGGCTATGCTATTCTCACCCGTGTGAAACAAGACCTGTTTTTCCTTACGAAGTGACTATTCCGAATTCGGACTCGAGTCCGAATATGAAAAAATGTTATTCGGACTCTGATTCTTGTCCAGCATGACATCACTTCCGACTTCCTGTGACTCGTGACTCCGGCTTCCTGTCCAGCCTCACTCGTGACTCGCCTCAGATTGGGTAGAGACTGGGATCACTTCGGGCAAACGGAGTATCTACGTACACGGCTAACACGGTAACCGGAGGGTCCAAGAGATAGTTCACTCAGCCAAAAACAGTGTCACTTTTATTATTGTTTTTCACACAAGTAGGGTAACTCTGTTCGCAAAGTTCGCGCTTTTTCTAAGAAGGCGCACTAGGGTCAACCGCTCTATAGTCCAGCATGATACCCACTGATTTTCATTATAACAGAGCGTCCAGACTAGGGTCAACCGCTCTATAGTCCAGCATGATACCCACTGAATTTCACAACAGAGCGTCCAGACTAGGGTCAACCACGATAGTCTAGCATCTGCCTTTGTTGCCATTTTTTTGTCCAAAAGTAAAAGTTGCCATTAATTTGCAAGCTTTCAACTCTCCATGGCGACATATTTTGCAATAATATGTTGATAGATATAGAGGTAACTTAAAGTTTTAGGTGTATCTAGAATATCATTTGTAGCCACACGACAGAGTTTAAAAACGGGAAAAACAAAGGTTTCACTACAGAATGAAAATGAAATCAAAATTAGAGCAGCACATAAAACAATCACAAAAAATAACAAATAAGGGTGTGTGTCTACATATCCGAAGATAAACCGTTTTAACCCTTAACGTGTGTAATTCAAGAAAAAGTACAGGATATTAGCATGTGAATTATGGAACCACACACAAGGGGCCTGCCAGTGTCAGCATTCCGTTTTTGGTGGAGACACGCTCTAACATAACACATTTTTATATATATATATGTTTTTTTAATGTAGGAACAACTTCACACTAAATGATATTGCTATACAATGGACACACACAAAAAATAGAAAAACAACACATCAGAACAATTTTAAACAAATTAACACACCAACAATAAATTAAAACACAACAAAGAAGGGAACATAAAAGACAAACAGCAATATATTATAGTATATAATGTACCTCTATATTCTTTGCCTGGAAATAAGGTACCATAATGGACACCTTAAAATTATCAAAATACATGTCTAATAATATATTGTTACGAAATAGCTTTTTATGTTGAAAAGTGTAAAAATCGCGGACGCGATTCGCGGACCCAAAAATGCAAAAAATCGCGGACGCGATCGCGACAAACACAGATGCTAGTGTAGTCCAGCATGATACCCACAAAATTTCATAACAGAGCGTCCAGACTAGGGTCAACCGCTTTGTAGTCCAGCCCCAGCATGATACTCACTAAATTTGATAACAGAGCGTCCAGTAAGCCTTTACTTTCGCTTTCGTTACCACCTAGAAATTTGTCAGTGAAGTAATTGTCTGATAACGCAACAATTATTCGGCATTACGAACGTGGTGTCGCCATGAAAATTAATCAATATTTGTCACTGTCAGGGGGGCAACATATATAAAGAAAAGAAAGTTATAGAGAAGCGTCTTGTCGGGCTCGCCATTGTGACAGGTCAATGAACCTGCACGCGTTCTGAGCGCTTCGAAGTACAGGACTCAGGAATGGGGGGGTGGGAGGGGGATTATTGATTTTTTTTAGAGACGCACTTGGGGATAGGGGGAGGGCTGGACGCAACACCAGAGGACAAAAAACAACAACTGAAACTGGAAGCAAATATGTTTAATGTTTAGAATTTTGATTACTACTACAGCTCTCTGCTAAGTAAGATTTTCAGAGTCACTGCATTTTGCTCTCCCTTAGGAAAGATGACAGGGAGTAGATTGGGATCATTTTTGAGGTTACATTCCGCTCACAACGCACAAAAAAGCGGAATGAAAAAGGAAAAAGGTCAAGGTCGTGAAGGGAGCGAAGCAGTTACCGTGCACCTAGCAAGCCCCCCCACGAAACAAAATACCCGGTTACCGTGTTCGTAGATAATGAGAGGCGCTCGGTTGCCGGTTACCGTGTACGTAGATATTGAGGCTACGCGCCCGGTTACCGTGTGTGTGACATTGCGACTACACGCCCGGTTGCCGGTTACAGTGTACGTAGACACTGAGGCTACGTTCCCGGTTACCGTGTACATATGTGACATTGAGACTACATGCCCGGTTACCGTGTACGTAGACACTGAGGCTAGCGCACGTGCGCGGTTACCGTGTACGTAGACCCTGAGGCTACGTGCCCGGTTACCGTGTACGTAGACCCTGAGGCTACGTACATGGTAACCGGGCACGTACGCTAGCCTCAGTGTATTTCAGACCAAACCAAGGGATGCCTTACTGACATGCATCATGCATGTATTTTAAACCTGAATAATTACTATTCTAATTACTAGATCTAATGAGACCTGTGTACTCAACAGGTTTCAGAGAGCCTATCCTAAGTGCAGCTAGACTGGCAGGCTAAGTATGGCTAGTCTGGCTGGCCGTACGGCTGGCCACTTCATTATCATAGCCGGTGTAGTTAGTTTAATGTTGAATCTGAAAGAAGAGGGCAGCCACAAGCCTCAAAGTCAGAAGCCGACATTCAGTGAGTTATATGCAAAGATTTATAAGACGGGTTGAAAATGTGTCGCGACACTGTGGAATCGGGCGTTCTTCAATTTTGTGCATGTGGAGTTGTATCATCTGAAAGCTTAATATTCGTTTTATTTTGTTTTGCTTTCGATTTTTAAAATGCACATCTATCTTAAATAGAAGTCAAAGTATTTGCGATTGAAGGAAGTGAGGTCGGCTGGTTTCAGTGGTGAAATTAGCGAGATAAGGGCACTTAAATTTGGTAACTCCTATAGCTAAAGAGTCCTTGAAAACTGAAAAATTTCATATTTTGTGCCTTTAATCAACCATATTCAGTAAAATTCACAGTATACAGTATAGGATTTGAACCCCAAATCAAAATTTCAATTAAAATTTGGTAACTGGCGGAAAAATGCCTGTTTCTCTGATTTCATTATTTTGACGATCGCCTGATTTCACAACAGTTCCTCACAAATTAGGGATTGCCCCTTTGGCTTTTGAAACCATTTGAAGATTTTCATTGGAAAATCAGTTAATAGTTGGGTTACTGTTCAAAGGTTTGAGAAAAATTGTATTTTTTTTAGATGGTCTCAGATGTTTGTTAACCCCTCTAACTAAACAATGCCTCTATGAAAGTGGATCTGTTCTGCATATATACTCTAGTCTAGAGAGTACAGTCCTGCTGCTGAAAAGATAAAACATTGTTGTTCTTGCAGACTCACAATATAAACTGCAGGGCTTTGACTTTGCTTTACCAAGCCTGGTGGTTTCTTAGACATAAACAAACAGTCATGTTTAGGTCTAGGGATCTCATGGGATTTGTAGTATAGTTACTTTGTAGAGGTGGTGGTAGGCACTGTTCTGTCTATATATATATAGAATCTATATTTAAAATGACATCCTCTGATGATGCCACATGAGAGTAAATAGACGGTCAGTGCGCTCGTCTCCAAAGCGGAAAGTCCAGGTTCGAGCCTTGGTTCGGACACTGATTTTTTCCGCCCCCTCCTGCCCACCCAGCAGTAATGGGTACCTGACTTTGAGTTGGAGAAGTGAAGGCGGCATAGAAAGGAACTGGCTTCCCTTCCACAATATGCCGAAGGCCCAGGAAGTTGTCTTACTAACAAGGCAATCCCCAATGTCCAGATATGATGCAGGAACAACTTTAACACACCAAAAAATTCTGGTTACAAGTGACAGGAATTATTAATGTTCTGGATTTTGTACATCAGTTTTGTCTCTTCATATGTTATAACTTGGCTGCGATGTCTTTTTTAAAAATTTGGAACTGTTCTTGTGTTCCTCTACATTTGACTGCGGTCTTTGGCTTCTCAGTTTCTAAAGTTGATCTACTGAGGTCATCATCATGTCCTTCATTCAGGCATTTTGTATCTTTGTAGAAGTCGCCCTTTTTTCCTCCTCCTAGTTTCTCTTGTTCTGATCTTATGTATTTTGATTTTCTTCCAACATTCAGGTGATTAAGGGGACTATTTTCATGAAAGTCAATAATTGAAAAATGTAAAGATGTGATTTTGATTTAACAAAGCCTTTTAAATATAAAAATCTCCTTGAAAAAGTCTGTTGTGGGAAGTTGTGATGGATTTTCTCCTTTCTTGGCATACTATTATATTTAGTTATCCACCTTATTATGTCTGAAATACTTTGCCAATGTGGATGATGTTGGTGTAAGTAGAAAGCCTTTCTTACAAAGGCGCAAAATTATCCTTATGTTCCCAAGCTTTGGGTCCTCCTGTAGGGACGTAAATATATAAAAATGAACTGTAAGATGCCCGAAAGGGGTATATAGAGGAAAATAGTTAAAGATACCATCTAGTTAAAAAAAGGATCTTGAAATGTAGATAATGGCTTATTTTGCTGTGACATTCCGTTTACTTTTAATTAGCTTGTGGCTCTCTTCAAATTCAGTTCTTGCAAAGGTTGATTTAGATCTTGCAATACTAAAGATGATTTTCATGTGGTGTCAGTTTCTTTTGAATCATGTCCGTGGATGTGATGCAGAACCATAATACAGTGATAAGACTAGAAAGTGAAAGACTATGATAGAAGCAGTCGCAACATCTTGTTTAGGAGGAGAGAGGTTTTTAGATTGGCAGATGATCAATTAATCCTTGGCCCTGCTGTTGTAGCCACGGCACATGTTGCTGTGCCCAAGTCCCAGGTGTACCTTGATTGTGGAAGGAGGGAGGAGGAGGGGGGGAGTGTTCAGTGTATACAGGAGGAGTGTCTATCTTGCTTGTTGTCTCATTGAAGGATGAATCAATGGCTTTACTGTTATTGTCTCATAGGGGGACGGGGGATTGATATGACTGTCACAATGTTATGTCTTGAGTATTTTCTTTGGTGCAGCTTACTTGTGTATTTGTGTATGTGTGTGAGAGAGAGAGAGGGAAAGAGAGAGAGAGGAATCACAAGAGAGAGACAGACAGTCAGACATAGAAACAGACCGAGAGAGAAGCAAGAAAGAGATAGAATACATGCATAACAGTGAGAATGAAAAAAATATTTAGCATAAGAGAGAGAGAGAGAGTGTGTGTGTGTGATTAGACAAAAGGACTCAGTAAATTTATAAAAGAAAGAGGGAAGATATGAGGGAAAAAGAGATATAAGATTAGAAATACAGTATACACACATATAAATGGAAGTAGTCAGGTATTTACTGTCTCTAATGTGGGAGAGAGGAAGTTCTTTCACCTTTTTAAAGCACCTGATAGTGCATGCATTTAATATTGAGTTTTTAAAGAGGTATTGAAGCATTTGGCAAAAAGTGCTTCCTGATAATACTGTGGATTTCACCATTGTGCTATCATGTATTAAAAATAGAGGTAGATTTAGTTTAAAACTTTAAGTCTTCAGCAAGAAATGTAGCCATTTTCAGTCTATGATCAATTTCATGTATGCACTCCAGGTTGGTTTGAACTGAGTGCCGAGCGAGGTACTCTAGATGCACCGTTAGTTCAGTTTAGATCATCAGGAATTTAGCAATGTGGTTGACCCTAGTTCAAATCCCCAACAGGGCTTTATCAAACTTTGGTTGCTTGTGGAATTTGCTCAGCCCTGACAAGGATCATGGAAGTTAAAGTTGGAGGTCCTGCATCCTACTGAACCGCCCCATGTTGAAAGGGGCACTATACTCATACCACATCGTCGTGTCACATTCTGCCATTAAAATGTGTCAGTAGATACATAGTCGAACAGCTTTAGCACTTTCTCTACCCTATTTGTTTTTTTATAACGACTACTTGCTCATCCGGTGGTGATTTGGATCTAGCCATGCCAATATTTTTATGTAATTTGATATTTACTGTGATGTTTCTTGTTGATACTAATTCGCATACACATATCTGAACAATTTTCTTTTCAGATCTGTCCAGATGCGCTTGTACTCTCTGAACAAGAGACAGTTCTTCCTTGTATTTGTTACTTTCTTTGTCTGCTTCCTTATCAGCATCCTGGTTGGCATTGCAGGTAAGCTCACCACAGTACAAACACATGATGCTTCCCATCTTTTTCTCTGTCAGCTTGAGATGTGTCTTGAGTCTTGAGTTTTTTCTTTACTTTGTGTGTGTTTGTGTATGCATGCTTGTGTGTGTGTGTGTGTGTGTGTGTGTGTGTGTGTGTGTGTGTGTGTGTGTGTGTGTGTGTGTGTGTAAGTGTGTTTGTGTGGGTTTCTGTCAACTCCTTGCCTTCAAAATGGAATGACTCGTATTTGCATTAAGACAATCAAAACTGCCCATTCTTATTGTTCTAATGGTACTCTCCTCCCACTTTGACAAATTGGACTTGTATTCTCTGAAATTTTAAAACTTACTTTTTGTTAAAATGTCTTTCTTCCTGTCAGCTTTACATAAAACTCCACTCTCATTTTCGTAACTTTCAGGAATGTGTTGCATAGGTTTCTATTAGGATTCCCTGGCAGTCGGCCTCATATAGATTATAAGAAAATTTGAGGAAAAAGACTGCTGGGTTTTGGGTTGGTTTTTTTCGTCTTTCTTAAAATTTGGCAGGGAGCATGAAACACTGCTTTTAAAAAATGTGTATAAAATCTTGAAGCTATGCCTTTTGTTGTGAGGTTTGCTGCATTTTATTTTTTTTAATTGAGCAAAGATGTAAGTAACTTTCAATGTTGGAAAGGCTAAAGTTTCATCCTTTTTCTTGTGGGGCATGTCAGCTTCAAGGTCATGAGCTCATTTTTTACGACAAAGTGCCTGGTTCGTACTATTGTGATGTATGTGTGCATGTTTATGTGTGTACATACACATCATGTATGGATGTTTGGGAGGGTGTGTTTGTTTCACTCGTCTGTATGTACTTTTATACACACATTTGAACATTGCGCTCAAATGACCTTATGCAAGGGCCGTAAAACCATACTCACTAAAACTATTTTAAAAAACACATTTGAACATATACGTTTTTAGTTAGCTATCCTACTTTTAAGTACTTCCTTTCTTAAATAATCGTTTTAAAATTCTGTGAGATTTGAAATAAAGGGTTAGGAGCTTAACTCTTTATCTTTGAGGGGTCCTATTTTGGTATGAAATCCAAAATTGACATAAACGTAGCTAAACTGGTCATCGAATTAAAACAAGTGAACCTATTTTGATAGTTCTTCATCTAATGAATGAACTCTGAGTATAAGAGACCATGTTTTCTGCATTTGCCGAAAAGTAATCTGTCATCAAAGTCAGCATGAAGAAATGTGCCCGAGCCGCAGGGAGCAGCTTGCCAGAGATAAGGAGTTAAAATATACAATAGGATCTTAAAAGGCTATGGGAAATGTTTTAAATCCGCACAACAAGCCAAAGATAAGATAACAGTGTGCACATGTTGATTTCTTAGTCAATGCTGAGGGCCATGTGTTCTGTATATCAATGAAAACAAATTGATTTTTGTACTGAGTTGTTCAATAACTTTTTGGTGGGAAAAGACCCCACTGATCTTAAACTTTCAATCAATGTTGTTTGTTTTTAAATTTCTTTGTTGATACTATGCATTCACTCACTTTTGTAATTGTTACACAGATGATGATGCCTTTTGTATGCTACACACTTTTGTTTTCTTCTGATTGTCAGCACTGTTTGAGTCAGATTTATCGCTGATGCCTTTCTCATGGAGACATCATGGCACATCAATAACTTTATGCAACAGCTTTATTCTGTCCTTTTGAAGACTTTCCGCCTAAAAAAAAAGCCCCGCATTCATTAGTTTTATATTACTTTTGACAAGTATGTAATGTATGCCGACCACATGGTTCCCAGTATCTGAGGATATATTATCTACAGTCTCTTCTGTGACAGTCAGCTGTTTGTGGGTTGATTCTCTGACGTGGTCTGCTTTTTTGTATTTATTTCTTTTTAAGAGTTAATTTTTGTCGTAATCTAATCTTTTCAAAATAATGTTGTCATGCTCACTCACAGTAGACTACAGCTCAGTCAAACATACAAATAAAATCTGCATGTTCTGCTTGTTATTACTTTTGCCAAGGTACCTTAGATTTTTGTTCCCCCCTGGGGTAGTGCCACTGACTGTAGTGTCTTTAGGCCATTTCTAAAGGGGGGACATGTCTCGTTCAATCACAGTAGAATTGTAAATGGGCTGATTCATGTCACGCTCATAACTGTGCCTGATCTACAACAGGGAACTGCTGCTTTTTCTTTCCTAATCCTTACTATTGTTATTTTCCTCTACTTCTTTTGTATGTTTGTCACTCTCTTGTGACCTGCTATTTTTGGAGTGCCTTGATAGTAGAAGCAGACCTTGTGCTGTTGAAGCTAGAGAGGTGAGCAGAATGAGTCTGATTCCCTGTAAAGACTTCTCTGTTGACACCCACCCCTTGGCACTCATATGACCTTATGCAGTTGCGAGCGCCGTAAAACCCTCTACTATAAAAAAAAATATTAGATTTTTGTAAGGATATTTATGTAATGTATCATTGGCACATAGACAGAAACACTGAAGTAAAAGAGACAGAGACACAGAGAGAGAGAGAAAGAAAGAGAGAGAGAGAAGACGAGAGAGAAAGAGAGAAGACGGAGAGGGAGAGAGGGAAAAGACTTTAAACGGGAGAAAGAAAGAAGCACCTCTGTAATGATAAGAGACCAAACTGTTGTGGCAAGGTGATTCCCATAATTTGCCGTTTGTCTTTATTGGTCATATATTTTCATGCTATGAAACAAAACACCTATGCTGGGATCCAATGCGTTTCTCCTGTCTTAAAGTTTAAAAACATTTTTTTCCTTGCATATTCACTTCCACCCTCCAGGTCCTCACATCATTGATTCCAACACTGTCAATGGCACTACAATGTTTAAGGAGCCAGAGAACAAGCAGGTAAGTGATGCAGCCGATCGTTGTTGTTGTTGTTGTTGTTGTCGCTGTTGTTGCTGTTGTGGTTGTTGTTGTTGTTGTTCTTCTTCTTCTTTTTCTTCTTCTTCTTCTTCTTCTTCTTCTTCTTCTTCTTCTTCTTCTCCTCCTCCTCCTCCTCCTCCTCCTCCTCCTCCTCCTCCTCCTCCTCCTTCTCTTCTTCCTCCTCTTCTTCCTCTCCCTCTCCCTCTCGCTCTCCCTCTGGGTGGTTGAAGGGCGCCATTGGTAGGTCCTGCTTCTTTACTTTCCCTCCCTCTGTTGTTTCTGTCTATCTTACTTTTTCCCAACATTAAATGACCATTATTGTGTTGGTGTGCTTCTCTTTACTCAAACAAACAAACAAACAAACCTCTCCCTCTCCCTCTTCTTCTATTTCTTCTTCTTCCATCCCTGATAAAGGCTTTGGAGTGATAATCTCGTTGTTTTGTAAAGCGGCACGGTCTTCAGTATAGTAATCATATGCTATTGGTTGATACTAATTTGGCTGATATTAATATTTCTTTTACTTTTTTTTAGAGTGCATGTTCCTTCTCGCAAAAAGTAAAGAAAACAGTGTTACAGTTGGTGATTGGCAGGTGTTCTAGTGTGGTTTGTGCCTTCTTTCCTATTAAACGTCTATCATCCTTATTTCTTCTTCTTTTTTGTGATTGTTACTCTCTTGTAGCACCTCTAATCTTTGGCTTTTTATATGCCCTTATTGTGTTGCAGGTGCAGTAAAACTCTTGTAAAAGCCAAAAAGAACAGTATTATAGACAAACTTTTAGACATTCTGAAACATTTCAACCTCTTGGGAAGGAATGAACATGTGAACATTTCTTTTCCACAATTCTTTCCAGACGGGCCCATTTCGTCTACGATCAACGCCAATGTCCACATTTCACCAACAGCTTTGGCTCATCGCTCATGTCACCACTGCTGAAAGTAGAGGTATGTGGTTTATGTTATGTCTTACCTTTACTTACCTATATATACCAAATGGCTACCTTAGAATTACAAAGTTCTATCTGACATTTGTGGCCGTTTTGAGTCACTAAGACCATGAGGTCAGAAAGCAAATGCGAGGCATCGTGTTGAAATCAGGCGCTCATCAAAATAATGAAATCGAAGAAACTGACATTTTTCTGCATGTCTGGCATTTCTATGTCCATTCAAGAACACATTTCTGTGAGGATTTTACTTTTTTTTTAAACGTTGATTAAAAGAACAAAAAAATGTAAATTTTCAGTTTCCACGCACTCTCAAGCTGAGGAAATAACTAATCTTTGGCGTCCATTTTCTCGCTAAATTTACCAATGAAACCAGGTGACCCCCACCTCCTTTATTCACAATAATCTCTCGACTTGTATGCAAGATATGTGGATATTTTTTCATCCAAAACAAGACAAATTGATGAGAGCCTGATTCCACCGCGTCATGAAACAAATGTCCTATCTGCTTTGTCAAAATCGTAAGATTATTCGAATTTGTTATCAAGATGTTCAAAGAATTGCATTAAAAAAAGCTGGACCTGATGTGAAACTCAAAATCTTTGACGTAAGATTTCACAAAACGAGGTACTGTGCTTATAGAACTTAGTATTTCTGAGATAGTGGAATGGTGCTGATGAAGTCTGTTGACTTATTTGTCAATAGAGGTTTTACAAAAGAGTAATAGACACAAAAAAAGCAGGAGCAGAGATAAGGATGATAGATGTTTGATAGGAAAGACGCCAGAGCACCATACTTTTTGTGTTACAGAATTTTGTGAAAGCTCTGTTAATTTCTTCTAATGAGAGATGAATAAAAGTTTTTGTTAATTAATCTTATCTCTACTCGTTTAGGCTCACGATTACAATGTAACATTGTATCTCACAGTTCCTGTCTTTTTTAATCTATGTGAGTGGGTGGTTGACGGGTGCTCTGGTGTGGTTTGCTTTTTCTTTCCTATCAAACATCTGTCGTCCTTATCTCTCCTCTTTCTTTTTTGTAGTTGTTAATCTTTTGTAACACCTCTAATCTTCGGCACTTATATGACCTTATTGTGTTGCAAGTGCCGTAAAACACTTACTAAAACTGAAACTAATAATTCATTCAATATTTACTTTCTTTCTGTGTTCTTATTAACCTTCAGTATGTTTTTTTTTTTTTTTAATTTATAGTTTTTATTATGGCTTTTAGTCAGTTTTGTACCAAATCCATCACACATCGCACTGAACATTTGCACAAATACTCATTTAAAAAATGCTACCACTCCAGCCATACATGTATACTGAGATCACTCGCAATCATCTCACGTTGGTACTGTAAAGTAGAAAGATTCACTGTGAATCAACAATGATTTTGCTGGGTATCACTGAATCATGCAGAACCAATTCTCTACTAAAGCTCCAACAATGTCAAATTGAACAATAACAACCAATAAAAATTTTGGATTTGATGTTACTGAAGTTATGGCCAATGTTCTACCCCTTGTACAAAAATAAAATGTAAAAACAAGTTTTAAAAAATCCCACAACAAAATACTGGTCCAGACACATCCATACTAAGCAGCAAGAATCTTAGAATATGAACTTCTTGGGCTGTTCCCAGGTGAACTCATTGCGTCCAAAATGTCCATAGCAGGCAGTGTTCTGGTAGATTGGGTTTCTCAGTTTCAGCTCCTTGACAATGCGTCCGGGCCTGAGGTCAAAGTTCTTTTTAACTATATCCAGAAGTTCTCGCTCTGATTTCTGTGAGGTACCATAGCTGAAGACTGTGATGGACAAGGGCTCAGCAATGCCAATGGCATATGAAACCTGAACTAAAACACGCTTGCACAGACCAGCCTTGACAAGAGACTTAGCAACCCAGCGAGCAGCATATGCAGCAGACCTGTCCACCTTGGAGAAATCTTTGCCAGAGAAGGCACCACCACTACCTTCAGTATGTACTTTAAACTTACCACATCTATAACAAGTTGCATTTTTTAAAGCTTTTTTTTTGGATGATCAATTTCCAGGTTCCAAATTTGAGCAAGACTTTAGCATGGGGATCCTGATCCGAGGTGCCAACGGGGATGCTCAAAGCTTTCAGGAATCGGACAACCCAACTCTCAGCTCAGATATGCACAACCGGACACGCAAGCTGAAGTGCAGCCATGTCAGTATTTAGAATGTATACTTTAAAACTCTGTTTTTACTTTAAATACCTATTGAACATCACTTAAGTGGAAAACTGAACACCATCATTCTTCTTCTCAACCATTACGTACAAACAACATGCTTGTCATGTCACTTTCAAAGCCATTAAAAGTCAGTAAACAATCAAGTACTCAAACCTGGGTCACTTTCACTTTAGTTCAGTAGGGAACCAACTAAGCTAAAAGCACTCACTCTAGTGATAATGGAGGTGGGACAAGAAGAGAAAAGACAGAAAAAATCAGAAGAGGCTAAGATGAGAGAAAAACAAATTCAAACGAAAGATATAATACAATAAAAGGAATTGAAAAGAAAAGCTGAACACCAGAAACTTAGTTTTGATACAAACAGCAGGTAAGCTATAAGGTCTGTAAGGTAAATCAAATTTTTAAGATATATGCTCAAGATACTATCATGACTTTTCTTTAGCTTGAGTGTGTAGTTGTCAGTACCTTCAGTAAATATTTAAAAGATTTGTTTTTTATGTTTTGCGTGCTTGTAGAGAGCTCTTGGCAGTAACGGAGGAAAGGGGTGAGTTCAATTCCAACGTGAGGAAGATAATTTATCGGGTATATATCCGTCTCTCTCCTGAGATGCGCTGTCTCCCTCACAGTTTGTCTCCTTGGGTTCTAAATTGTGGAAACAGATTTGAGAAGAAATGTTGAAGATATTTTTGAGTCATATCCATGCTTACCTGCTGTTTGTATCAAATCAAAGTTTCTGGTGTTGATCTTTTCTTTCTAATTCATCTTTTGTATTGTATCTTTTGTTTGAATTTTTTTTTTCTTCCATCTTGTCATGTCACCTTCGTCTTGTCATGTCACTTTCAACAAAGCAACGTGGGGCAAGGATCCATGAAAACTCAGTAAACAATCTGTCAAGGATTCAAAACTGGGTCATTAGCACTGTAGTCCAGTGGGGGATCAGCTCAGCTAAAAGTGCTTGCTTTTGTGTAATGGAAGTGTAAAGTACATAGAGCTTACTGTCGAGCGGGGATATGCCCTATACAAATTATATTTATTATTATTGTTATTGTTATTATTATTATCTTAGCTTCTCTAGTTGTTTTTTTGTCGTATCTCATCTTGTCCTGCCCTCATTATCACGAGAGAAAGCAATTGTAGCTTAACTGGTGCCCTACTGAACTACACTGCAAAGGACCCAGGTTTAAATACTTGATGGGCTGTTAACTGGCTGAGTTTTCTTTGCTCCCTGCCCCACTTTGTAATATCTCTAATCTTTGGCACTCATGTCACTTATTTGTGTTGTCCCCCCGGGGCAGTGCCACTGACTGTAGTGTCTTTAGGCCATTCCCAAAGGGGGGACATTTCTCGTTCAATCACCGTAGAATTGTAAATGGGCTGATTCATGTCACGCTCATAACTGTGCCTGATCTACAACAGGAAACTGCTGGTTTTTCTTTCCTAATCCTTACTATTGTCATTTTTCCTCTACTTCTTTTGTATGTTTGTCACTCTCTTGTGACCTGCTATTTTTGGGGTGCCTTGATAGTCGAAGCAGACCTTGCACTGTTGAAGCTAGAGAGGTGAGCAGAATAAGTCTGATTCCCTGTAAAGACTTCTCTGCTGACACCCACCCCTTGGCGTTCATATGACCTTATGCAGTTGCAAACGCCTCTACTATATAAAAAAAATTATTATTTGTGTTGCAAGTGCTTTGACAATCTCACAAAAATTTTCCTCTTGTAATACCTTTAATCTTCGGCACTTATATGACCTATTTGTGTTGAAAGTATTGTAACAGTCTCACTAAAACTATTAAAAATTTCATATGTTCTCTAGTAATACTTTTAATCTTTGGCACTTATATGACCTATTTGTGTTGCAAGTGCTGTAAAACTCTTACGAAAACTTTTGTTCCCAGACGGTCTGTGAGGATCTGATTGTCATGCATCTGGGCTACCTGGATTACACGTACTACTTCATCTCTGTGGTCTTCTATGACCTGGACGTCACAAAGCTGGCTATCAGGGATGTCAAGTTCACTGTGAGTTCCCGCTTTTCTTAGTTACTGTGGATGGGGGTGTAAAAATGAGCATTTTTTTTTTTTACATTCTGAGTTCAATAGTTAGTAAAATATTAGTTAATGACCTAGATGTCACAAAGCAGGCTACCAAGGATGTCAAGTTTACTTTGAATTCCCTCTATTCTTAATTACTGTTGATGGGGGTGTACAAATTGCATTTGTTTTTAACGATCCAAGTACATTTGTCCGTAAAATGTTATAATTACTGTTGATGGGAATGTGCAATATTTGCAATTGTTTTTTCAATCTATAGTTAGTAAAATATTAGTCTATGACCTTGATGTCACAAAGCTGGCCTTAAAAGATGTCAAGCTCACTGTGAGTCCTTCCTTTTCTTCTTTTTTTTTTTTTGGTAAGTGTTTTACGGCGCTCGCAACTGCATAAGGTCATATGAGCGCGCGGGACACACCTAATATTTTCAGTTGGTAAGAAATTTTGAATTTTGCCCGGGTGACGGCCGAAGCCTACTCTTATTGATTTTAGACCACCAAGGGATCTTGAACGTGCGCAACTTGCACACTAGCCCTCCGAGATTTTTCGCCCTTTTCCGAGAAGGCTAAGTGTAGATCTTTCCTACCAGAAAATCAGGGGTGTGGCAGAAAGACAGCAGTAATGAGGAGCCAAGGAGTAGCAGTAGAAAGGCTGCAGAAAGAGTCAGGAGCCCAGAGGAGGGGGCAAAGGGGGTGGGGGCAGAAAGTGGAAATGAAAGCAGACAACAGAACATTGCTAGAGAGCAGGAAAGGAGGTGAAAGGAGACAATTTTAGAGAAGAAAATTTTTCGGTCGCTACCTGGATTCGAACCCGCGACCTTTGAATGAGAGGCCAACACCTTAACCTCTAGGCGACGAGAGCCCCCTCCTTTTCTTCTTACTGTCAATGGGGGCATAATGATAAATAATAATAAATGCGTTTGTATAATGCATATCCCCGCTCGATTACAAGCTCTATTTGCTTATTTGCATTTGTTTTATGATGTAGGATCTTTAGTAAGTGAAATGTGAGCATCTTTTAGAAGGGCACTGGCTTATTTCAGCACCTCCCCCTACCCCCATCCCCATTTGCAGTCTAAGTTCAATTGTCTCAGAAGAGATTAGAATCTGGCAATGCACAGTGAGGAAAAGAACCCTCTCATTTTGTCTTTATTTTTAAAGATTTTTTTTCTCCAAAAGAGTGGATTAGAGCATATTGGGACAGATTTATTTCTAAACCATACATGGGCCTCACTTACATGTCACAGATATATAATGATTGTACAGCTTGATGGGAGTAACCATGTCATTTTTCATTCTTTTTGTTAGTGTTGATCCACGAGGTGGTTATTGTGTTAAATCAATTTTTCAATTAAAATTTCTCTGTGAGGTACACATAAAGAGTTGGCTTAAGATGTCTGGAGGGGTTTTATGGCTATGCTCTATCCACACAGATGTTAGATGTCCGCTTTGAGCTACCACCTCAAGCATGACCTACGTTGTGTGAAAAAAGGCTTGGAACCCAGGTTCACAGCGAATGAATGTAATTCTTTTCTTCACACACTGTTCGGCACAATTTACTCAGTTGGTATCATGCCAAACTATAGTGCCGATGGCCCTGGTTTGAATCGTCGTAGAGACGTTCCTGATCTTGGTTGTTTCAAGGCTCTCTGCTCTCTTAGCTCTGTCTTATCAAAGGTGGAATTTAGATTTAAGGCCTCTTCCTTAGTTAGCATGGATGTTGAACCCACACCTTGCAGATAGCAGGCGGGTGCTCTGGTGTGGTTTGCTCCTTCTTTCCTATCAAACATCTATCGTCCTTATCTCTCCTCCTTTTTTGTGTTTGTTACTCTCTCGTAACACTTCTAATCTTCGGCACCTATATGATCTTATTGTGTTGCATGTGCTCTAAAACTCTTACTAAATCTAAAAACGAACACACACCTTGCCATACTCAGTTCAGGCGTTGTCTTGTGTCCCCAGTTCAAAAGCTACAACCCATCCTTCACCCAGATTGAGATCTGGATTCGCTTTGTCTTTCTGGTGTTTACCTTTCTGACAACAGTAAGTGTTTGTGATGAAATGCTCTACCCCACACTCTTCTCCATCCCTCTACTCCACGCTCTTCTCTATCCCTCTACTCCACGCTCTTCTCTATCCTTTTCTTTGTCCCTTTCTCTGTCCCTCATTCCACACTCTTCTCTATCCCTTTCTCTATCCGTCTACCCCACACTCTTCCTTCAACCACCATCTCAACACGTCGAATTTTCTTCCTCTTCCCCTCTCTCCCACTCCCTTTGTTTTTCTCTCTCCCTCATCTCTCCTACACTTTCTCTCTATCTCCCTTTAACTCTCTCTCTCTCTCGTTCTCTCCCTTCATTTCCCTTCTCCCTCTGTCTCTCTATCTCCCTGTCTCTCTCTCACTCGCTCCACTCTTCTTCTCTCTTCTTTATCTATCTTTATTTCTTCTTTTCTCTCTTTCTGTCTTTCATTATCTCATTCTCTCTTTCCCCACTCTCTCTCTCCCCACTCTTTCTCTCTCTCTCTCTGTCTTTCTGTCTCTCTCTCTCTCTCTCTCTCTGTCTCTCTGTCTCTCTCTCTCTCTGTCTCTCTCTCTCTCTCTCTCTCTCTCTCTCTCTCTCTCTCTCTCTCTCTCTCTCAGGTTTCACATTCCTTTACAACTGTAATGACTATGTGAGTTTCTACCTCTCCTATATTTATCATCTATGACCTTTAGTACAGAAATGCACTCTGCAACATCTGTTGCTGTCCTGCCACTGGAAATTAATTCGTCATCTAGTGAACAAAAATCAATCTGTGGGATTGAATTGGGATGGAAATCTGGTGTTTATTAAAGACTGTTTATTACACCAGTATTATTTACAGACATATAATCGCTTGTTGTTGTTTGTTTTTTAAGTTAGAAAATAGCACTCGTATCTGATTTCCTATTTGTGTTGCTTTGAGAGCATCATGTCTCAGGGTTAACTTAGATTTGTGGCGCATTGTATTCATTGCTTCATTGCATGTATCCACATCTTTTCCAACAGAATTTATTCTCTTATCTAAGCAAACACATGTATACTTAATGCTGATTCTTACTTTTTGAAGTAAGAAGCACATTTTTTCTTTCCCTCTGTTGTTCCATCTGCTTTAAATGACGGCTAAATGTGTTCATTTACTTTTTAAAAAATCAAACAAACTACTTTTTTAAATGGAATTTCTCATTTTTCTTTTCATCCTCTAAACACTGCGAAATGTGTTTTGTTGTGTAGATGTTTTAGAAAAAAAAATTAAAAGTTAAACAATCGCCATCTCGGAGTAACTTCCTGGGTGGTTGGCGGGTGCTTTGATGTGGTTTGCTCCTTCTCTCCTATCACACTACTATCATCTTCATCTCTCCTCTTTTTAAAAAAATGTTTGTTACTCTCTTGTATTACCTCTTCTCTTTGGTACTTATATGACCTACTTGTGTTGCAATTTCTCCGCGATGTCTCACAATTAAACAGGTTTGTCAACTTTTACAGATTTCCCAGGACTGTCTCCGATTAGGGAATTTAAGAGGGCATTTAAGTCTGCTACGCTAAAACCAGCCCCACCTGATGTAATCTTGTTCTTTGTTACAGGATCTGAGGTTCTAACATTGGATGTCTCTGACTGGGTTTTGAAAAAGTTGGCAAACAAGTGTAATAACAGAACAAACACTGGTCACCCGATGTTCCCATGTATATCATTTCAGACTTTTTTATGTTGGTGTGCCAGATCTTGAAACTTCTCTCACATATTTCCTTGTGGGTGGTTGGCGGTGCTCTGGTGTGGTTTCCCCCTTCTTTCCTATCTAACATCCATCATATTTATCTCTCCTCCTTCTTTTTTATGTTTGTTACTCTCTTGTAACACCTGTAATGTTCTGCACTTATATGACCAATTTGTGTTGCAAGTGCCATAAAACTCTGACGAAGACTAAACATGTTTCCCTTTTCTCCCCCTTTCCCCTCAGTGTTGGTTTGCTCATAGCTTGCGCAAGTTTTCCCTTCGGGACTGGTCCATAGAGCAGAAATGGATGTCGGTACTTTTGCCTCTCCTGCTTCTCCATAATGGTAAGAAGAGGTTTTCTATGCAAGTGCTGCCGAGTAGACATCTTCTGTTGAAAGAAATTAATTTGCTCTTGTGAGAGCTCGTGGAGCTCATCTTTTCACATTAAAAAAGATAAGACTAGACTAGACTTTTAGTGTAATATTTAGTTACTTTTTTTTTTTAAGATGATATTTGGGTTTGTCCCAATGAAGCAAATGAATTTCAACAGTAAGAGAAAAAGCCTCCTTCCATCCATCCCTCCCTCCATTTGTGTGTGAGTGTGTGTGTGTGTGTGTGTGAGTATATATTTATATATATAAATATTATATATGTGTGTGAGTGGGTATATAATATGTTTGTGTGTGTGTGTGAGTGGGTATATATATATGTGTGTTTGTGTATGTGTTTGTGTGCAGAGCCCGTCTGTCCTGAAACACTCGTCATCTCTCTCTCTGTAGTTTTAGTAGAGGTTTTACGGCGCTCTCTGCCCATGTGTATGTTCCCAGACCCAATCTTCCCCCTGACGTTCCTGGTGAACAGCTGGCTGCCGGGCATGCTGGACGGGCTGTTCCAGGCCTCCTTCCTCAGTGCCTTGCTTCTCTTCTGGTTGTGCATCTACCACAGCGTCAGGCAGGTGAGTGAGGTGACTTAGGGGGCTGACTCGAGACGCTGCATGCAGTGTTCTTCTGCTTCTTGTCATTATTTTTTTACTTCTTCTCCTAGTTCTTGTTTTGTGTGTTCTTCCTCCTCCTCCTCTTCTTCTTCATCCTCCTCCTCCTCCTGCTCTTCCTCATCGATAGTGTAATAGTCATTCTTCTTATTCTTTTACTTCTTGTTTGT